ATTTTGGACATTTCTGTGCTTCCAATAAACAGACCCAGGCATGAGCCTCACAGTACTCAACCCTCACCCAGCCAGGCCACCCCGGGATTTGGCAATCAAAGAGTGAAGGCCTAGCACAGTGGGGAGAAAGTTCCTGCAGGGCCATGCTCCAGCAGGAGGTCTGTCTGATTGGTCCCATCCCAGGCCATACAGATACTTCACAGATCAGCCCTGCCAGGCTGAGGCACTATGCTTCATCAGTAGCAGAGAGAAACCCCTGCCGTATGCTCAGCATCATTTAGAAACCTTTAAGATTCCAAGAGAAGATGAGCTCACATTCCCAGGCCAAGACTTTGATGGATGGGTTAGTTGGAAGTTGCTAAAGAGGGTCCTGAGACATTACACTTTCAGTTCCTGTCTATGCGATCTGGCTAAGATGCTCACCTTCCATAAAGTGGGTGTCCACCCAAATCTATGGCCAGTTCTAAGACACCAGGCGAGTCAGTCGGCAAAAGGCAGGTGAGCTAGAGGAAAAACATGCATTTATACTAAAATAGTAAGAGAAGAGTAGTGCATTTTTTGTGAACATACTCAAATATACAGCATGTATAAGTATGCATATGGGTATTTATAGGGATGTGTGTGCATGTGTGTATATGTATATCTGTATACGTATACATACACATGCATATATATGTGTGTATATGTACATATACATATACGTACATATATATGTATATGTGTGTGTGTGTGTGTGAACTAGCTACCAACCACTAACTCAGTGTTATCATTTAGGGGAAGCGGCTGTCAATTATGTATGGGATCCGAATTTGTTGGGGAAGGGCTGGTATTCAGAAACAGCAGAGATGTGAAAAAGAAAAGATACGGAGGAAGACTAAGACAGGAGAATTGGCAGGTGCGCGCTGGGCCAAGGCTAATAGCTACCTCCGAGAACAGGGCCGGAGGTGGTAGTTACAGGGTTTTCATTGTATCCGCCGTGTGTAATCTGTCCTAAGAATAAAGCATTCAATGAGAATATATAATAAAATGCTAATAGTTTAAATAGTAGGAATGCGAGGGTTCGTCTATTCAGTCAGTCTATTCAGGAACAGGTATTCGTCTGTACATCTTATTTCTCAGGAGGTAATGGAGATCATTTCAATTGCATCTCAACAGCCACATGCTATATGGCCAGGCTGCCCGCAGGGCTAGAGAGCAAGAAGTGTTGTGAGCATCTTCCAATCCTTCCCAACTCCAAAAGAGCTCAGATTCCTAAATTAGCCCAGACTAACCCTTTGCAGATTCATAAACTCAGTTTTTTCATGATCAAAACTAATATAAACAAGGCAGGTTAGATCACAGAACTTGGAAGGCTAAGGCAAGAAGATTATGAATTCATAAGACTACCTGGGCTACATAACAAATATAGAGTTCAGCCTGGGCTACACAACAAATATAGAGTCCAGCCTGGGCTACACAACAAGCCCTTCAAGAAAAGAAGCAAATGAAATGCATAAAATGGATGCTGTTCATTTCTAAGTTCAAGCACCTGTCCAACGCAGCATGAAGCTTCCGGCATGCTGGACTGAGTGATGAATGGGTTCTGCTGTAAGCTGCTCCCGGCCTGGGAGGACAGACAGATGATATGTGAGGGAAAACATGAGAACGCACTGTGGGCAGTGTGTAATAAGGACATTTTTACTACTGCACACTGTCTGTAACAGAAAGGTTCATGCTGGAGTCTGGGGGGCTATAATTTCACAAAAGGACATTAAAAGGGGTCTAGAAAGACTAAGGCATCAAGAAAAGAAATAAGAGGGAAATGAAAGACATGGAAACCCATTTTATATGCCAGTGTTAGGATACAGATTCCAATGTCCTTAAAGACAGTGTGCTACAGGCCCGGACACCAGCGTGGGGCACTAATGGGCAGTGGTGGAGCACTGACTGGGTAGAGCCAAGGAAGTTAGGTCATTAGCGATATGACTTGAATTAGACACTGGGATCCCAGCCTCCTCCCGTCTTTCTCTTGGCTTCTGTGCCACTAGGAGGTGAGTAGGGGCCCTCTTCCATGCACAACCACAATGACAGACTGAGTGTCAGTGAACTCAGATTCCCCAAAACCATGATCCAAAAGCAACCTTCCCTCTGATATGCCGATTTCCTTAAGGATTTTGCTACAGCGATGGGATGCTAATGAACACGGCCAATTACCTATACATTACAGCATGCAGCAACCCCACAGCTAAGTAGTAGTGGTCCTAATTTAAGGAAATAGAGGCTCTGAGGAAGTAAACAAGTGTACAGAACCCAAAGAGTCAAATGTGGATTCTCATTCAGATCTGAAATTTCAGGCTGGAAAGAGAGTGTATGTAAAGAGATGGGGTTCCCCTAAGGCAGAATTGGGAGCCTTCCGGTACACATGCTGCTACTTCCCTCACCCCCCAAATTTGGACACTCAGTGTGTTAACTTCAACTCAGCTAGCTTTATACTCACCTAGGAGATTGAGGCACACCTTTAAAGTGTCAGTAAATATATTTCAGAGAGAACTGAGGAAGAATAACCCACTTAGAATATGAGTGGCCTCATCCCAGGGATTGAAGATTTGAAAGAGAAAACTGATCTCTCCATCATGGTGAGCTGAGAGGTGAGTAGCCCCAAGCCATGTGTTCCCACCACCATGAACTCTATCAGGCCCTCCAACCATGATGAACTTCAAAACATGAAGAATAAAAAAAAAAAATCTTGTTAGTGATCTGGTCATAGCAGTTAAAATTGACAGTAGCTAATATGTCCATTGACAACCAAAGATCAAAATTATTGTGGCAAATGGTGTTTATTAATTCTAAAGTGAGATGAAACCTAAATAAAATGGGATATGATTAAGATCAGAGAGATGCAAGATTAATTCTAATAATCTCTCTCTCTCCATTTGCCCCTAGCTTCAAGTTTCTTGACTTTAGAAAAGGAGATGTTTTGCTTCTACCTATGGGGACGCATCCTCCTTGACATGCCGGGACTAAATAAGGCAGCTCAGCCCAGAAACAGAGATCAGGGGACAGGAGATGCCGAGAACGAGGCACCGCCCTGGATGCTGCCTAATCCATCCAACATGGGACACACTGTTCCAGAAACAGGATGACAATTAATAGGAAAAATCTGCTCTCACATCACTGCCAAGCGTGTTTCAGGGTCTCAGCTGCTGGTGTGCCTCCTCAGGGGAAGAACAATAATGCCCCATTCTTCCTTTTGGTCCATATCCTGATGTTTTCTTGTGGGGAATAAGGAAAAGATCACGCGCGCGTGCACACACACACACACACACACACACACACATCAATACCCATAGCCAAGGACCCAAGGATTACCCAAGATAGAAGGCTTTGAGATGCTCAGTAGCCATCCCATCTAAACCTGTGGAGCTCTGCTTGACAAATGGTAAGAGCTGGCAGAAAAAGTGTCTTCAATCAAAGTGCTTAAGAGTAGTCTGGACCTGTTTGAGCCATTAAAAACCGATTTCCTCTTTGGAAATTACCAGCATATATATTTCTCTTGGTCAAACTATTTCAAATTATCCACAAACACTGGAGATATCACTCAAAGGTAGAGCAATTAGCTACGCTGTGTGAGGCCCCTAGGCTCAGCCCTGACTCCCACAAAACTGGGGGAGGAAGGAAGAAGAGCAGGAAGGAAGGGAAGAAGGAAGAGGAGGAGAAGAGGAATGAAATGGGGTGGGAGGTGGGAAAGCGGGAAGGATGAAGAGAGGAAGACCCAGAAGCAAAAGGAAACTTGGCTTGCCTCGATCCATTCATCAAATTCATCAAAAGTCAAGAGTTCAGAAGCAGAAGACTCCAGGAAGGCTGGTCTATCTGGCCCCACATTTCAACCCTTTGGCCACCTCTGAGTAGTTCTATATGCTAGTACCCTTAATTTTTAAGAGAGGCCCAGAATCTTGAGAATATAAACCAAATCTGGCTCCTTTTACGTACAAATACTTGACCCTTGACCATGTAGCCATTCAAACATGTATTTTTGCATATGAATCTATGGACTTCTGCTCCTGTGAACATCATTTGTGTTTTTGTTTTAATCCCTGAGCCCCAGAGTCAGGACGCCCACCACAAAAACCAGCTTCTAGTATCAAAGCCTTAGAAGTTCATCCTTCTGGGTTTCATGATGTCACCAGCAAACATCAGCATGGATGTTGCTTAAGTAACCTTTAACTCTCCCTCCCCACCCACCTCTGCCAACATCAGCCATGCATAACAGCCCCAGCTGGGAAGACATTTTGAAAATCAGGTTTCAATTCTAGAACCGGTAGCACCCAGTTTCTTTCACATCATTGGTCCATATCCATCTCTGAAACCAGGCAGGTAAATGCTAATTCAACATGTTAACCCCTTTTGTGCCAGATGCCTCACAGGAGCTTGGGCAGAACACCACATCCCAGCACTCCACTCTTGCCCTAATGGGGCCGAGTACTCTGACGTGGAAGTTGGCCAGCAGATTTAGAAACCGTGTTATTCTTGGCATCCAATCCAGGATTCTGTGTAGAGCTACATGCTGAGCTACACAGCAAGCAGCACAGACAGCTTTTCAATACCAGAATTCACCACCCTCCATCTCATGGGCTAAATCACACAATGAGATTTCAAAGACAAGTACAGACAAGAGAAAAAAGAATCACTCAAATATGGTGTCCCTTCGACCACCACTAATGAAAAGGATTGTCATTTGCCTCATACCCAACTTTCTGCTCAAACCTCATCACACAAGTCCATCTGAGCAACCAGTAGTTTTTCATTTCCAGCATCCATATTTGGGTCCCATAGATCCCAACACAGTCTTCGGTCCATAATTACCCAGAACAGGGTACAGACAGGGGTCTCCACCGGGACTATGGAGATCCAACAAGCAGAGGCTTCTTCAGAGAGTACACGGAAGCGAAACCAGTATCTTTTGATGAAAAGGAGCTAGGCTTCCATTACGGAACTCTTGGAACCAAAAAGCGCCACCTTACCCTTCATTCCAAATTTGGACCGGCGACCATACTTGTTGATCATGATGAAGAGAACCACCAGAAGGACGCAGGCAAAGGCAGCAAGTCCGACCGCTATGGATACCTAGTAGGAGCCAAACGGAGAGACGGTCAGGAGCCGTGATGGGGAAGCCTCCGAGCCTCGGAAGTAATGTGTGTGCCCGCTGAGAACAAACAAGTTTCAGCAGAACGGGACCCTCGAACACCTTTGCTACTGAGGTGTGTGTAACCTGACACCTACGTGCCCAGCGCAGCCAGTGACACCTCTGCATGTGGCAAGGCCATGTCACGATGTCAAACTATTGGGCAACCCTGGAGTTACGTCTTTAAGAGTGGTTTGTGAGACCCAAAAAGAACTTTTAAATTCTTACTTTAAAAAGTATAAATTAATAAGCTTGATGAAGGGGAGGTTCCCAGATTCAATACTCTGAGCCCTCTTACCTGGGAGCCATTCAATTGCAACAGCAAGCTGAGAGAAACCTCTGTGTAGTGTTTCGGCTAGCAAGTAAATTCTCTATCTTTCCACTGAAATCTTTACACCGCATTTCTACTCAGAGAAGGCTAGGAGTTCTGGATTAACAGACTCCTTTCTATGTCTCCCCAGGAAAGCCTCAGACTCTGAAGCAGGCACGGGAAAACCTATCCAAGGAGAGGCTCTGAGTAATTTGGGGTTTTATAGAAGGTTTGTCCAGTCAGCAGGCCTTGCACGCCTGCTGGGCCTGGCTCATAGCAGTCTGGGAATTTCAAACTGTTCTCTTTCTAGCCCTGGGTCTTGGAGCTGACTCTCAAAGGCTTCTTCAAACAATGAGGCGCTCTCATCAAACATGGATGGTTTAAACCATCTCAAAGGGAAGCTCTCCCCATTGCTTCTTTTTTTTTCTACCATTGGTACTGCTTCAAGTAAGAGACTATGTGGGGAAGTTAGCACCTGAAATGAAGTCCGAAAATGACTCTACCCTTCAGTATTCTCCTCTAGATCAGAAAGAAACTCACCCCAAAAGTGTCTTCCTCTGGTTTGTGGGTCACAGTGACAGGGGGTGTGGGGCTCACATCAGAATCTGAAAAGAAGACAGGGGAGAGGAGGGCAGTTAGCTTACTAACCAGGAATCCCGGCTCATGCCTGCTCTGTCCCTAGAGTCACCCTCCTAGCTGAGCAGACACCCCCGGGGACTGAGTGAGCCCCAGCAGAGCTACCTGTCTCACAATTCAGTGGTATAAAAAAACAAAAAACTCAAAAGAATGCAGACCTCTATCCCACCTCCAGCCCTAGCACAGAGAACACACCACAGTCTGGGCAACATTCACCCTGAAGCGCAGGACAGGGACAATGAAAACGGCTTGGAATCCTGGCTAGCATGGCGAGTAGGGAGATTTTAACTTTTGCCATCCCATGCTTAGGGAGCCACTTTCGCTCTCCCTTCCTGTCTCATTCCTTCCCACCTTCACTCGAAGGCCTCAGTGAAATCCAGGCTCACGTCTTAATGAATAGCCCTCTAGCTATGCCCCTAAGACTGATTTCAGAACACAGTGGCAGTTGGAACAACATTTAACGGATCAGGAAACACCACCGAGGGGCATCCTCTGTCTACAATCACCTCCTGGCAAGAAACATTCCCAGCTCTGAATTCTCTTAAGGGACAGCTGTGGGGTTATACGAGATTTTTATAACCAAGAACAAGGGAAGGAGTCACATTTGGAACTTATACTTGTGCCAAAGGGCTGGAATATTCCTAAGTAGGGTTGTTCTACTATCCCTGACCTGAAACTGGGCAGAAAGGGCAATGCTTGCTGCTGCTCCCACCATGGAGGAGTAAACAAAAAAGAGAGCGAAACCCCAACTCCGTCAAGGACTATCCAGCCCTGCCCTCAACTCTATTACTAACTGAACTTCAGTGACGCAATTCAAGGATATGTGAGCCCCTGAGAAATCACAACTCCACCCTCGGTAGGTTCTGGCCAAAGGCAGGTGAGATGCACTGGCAAGTTCCCAGGCCCCACATTTTCTCTCTAAGAACAACTCAGATGATCAGTGAGGGTCCTGAGAGCTGTTCTTCACCTGCTGCAGACTTTTTTCAGTCGGGAAGAGAGGTTTGCAATATGGCCATACCTCAAAAAACACCGAGTGGGGCCAAGTTGCTCAGTTCTGCAACTACCCAACCCTGTATTTAATACCATTACAGAACAAGACGGTTGCTAGTTGTCTAGGAGAAATTTTGGTCCAGGGCAACTGTCCAAGTGGGCATAGGATTTCGTCCTTTTCATAATGTACTAACACCCTCAACTGCCAAGGGACCGGGAACATGGACTAGGCAAGAGGGAAGTCTGTATTTAACAGTTACCAAACTATCAGGACACAAGTGTTTCAAACCCAAAGCCAAGCACACTTACCAAAGTCAAAGAAATCTGTGCTCTCTGGGGGGAAGAAAAGAACAAAGATGCAATTAACAAATATAATAACAGCAAAAGATCAGAAGGTTGTATAGGATAGCAACCTACTAGCTGGGACCTCTTTCTCTTACCACAATCCCCCATTCCCACAGCAAGGGACACCTAGGAAACCTTCCTAAGTCACGCCCTCCAACCAGTGTACGCCCTCTCCAGATATTTCCCCCAATGGAGGCTCAAAAGATGCAGCTCCTCGTCTCAGAGAAGGAAGCCCACCTCCGAGCTAGCAATCAAGCTAGTTTTACTGCAAGGCAGAGGACTGAGGCCCTAGCCGCCTCCTGTCCACAGCTGTTCCTTTTTCAAGAACACTGGAGCCGGTGCTTTACAGCAGCTCCAGCCATGACCCTAGAATTAACTTCTTTCCCTCAGTACGTGTGGGCAAGGCTGGCAGGTCACTGAGAAGCCTGGGAGATGCCCCGCCCCCTAGGATCTTCATATCATCCTATGGACATGTGTTACCTGAACGCTGACCTATAGAAATGGCTCTCCCCAATAATGAAAGAAAATCCTTAAAGGGGCCTTAATTATGAGCCAGGAGCTGTGCTCAGTGCTTCAGGTACTATGTCCTTCAGGCCTTTATAATCTCCTAGAAGATGAATAGCAGTTATAGAGATGAACTAATTGAATACCATTCATCTAGGAAGCAATTGGAGCGGATTCAAATCAAAGATTGGGCTCTTCACCACTCTCCAGCACTGCTCAAACTTGAGCAGGTGATAGAACGAGTCATCGGAAGGTGAGTGGCACCCTCCTCCACCAAAAGGAAAGATAACTTCTTCAAAGAATGGACTACTTCATATCTGAGACAGGAAAATTAAAAATGTGCTTTGGGTAGCTTGCGGCACCAGAAAACGAGAAGGTACTTAAAGATATATGGTCCTGGAAAGAGAAAGCAGGCAAGGATGCCCAGCTGAAATGTAAATAATCTGAGGAAAAAAAAAGTCAGAGTCATGGGGTGTTCTAGATTGCACTGTGTTGCTTCACAATCCATAGAACTAAGGTGTAATCCCAGTACTTCAGAATGTCACTATATTTGGAGATAAGGGGCATAAGTGAAAATGAAGCCTTTGGGGACCAGATAAGAAGAGATTAGAACATTGATGCACTCAGAGGCAAGGCCAAGTAAAGATGCAGCAAGGACAGCACCGACAAGCCAAGGAGAGAGGCCTTGGAGGAAAGCTAGCCTGGCAACAGCTGGTCTCAGATTCCTAATCTCCAGCACTGTGATAATATGGATTTTTTTCAACTTAAGATACCCAGTCTACGCCACTTTATCATGGAAAACCTAGACAACAAATACATGAATTGCAAAAAAAAAAAAACCACACCCACAAGTCCTTTATATACACAAATGTATAGCTGAGCAAATGGGTGGGAGACGCCCTCCTTCACCGTGATTCCAACTAATAAAGGGAAGGCTGGAAACAAAAACCATCCTCCTTTGGTAAATGCTATAGTTATAATTGCTCAGGCAAGAATCATTCATAAATGCTGAAATTGCTGTATGGAAATGCTGGAGGAATTCCTACCGCCAGTAGCCTTTAAGTTACCACCCACTCGGGCATGGCCTCTTATACTATTTATGCTGATGTAAAGCATGTGTCCGGCCTCTTTTCCGGCTGCGGGATTCGGTTGCTGTTCTCCATTCAAGCAGAGGATTGTGATTTGTGAGTCTACCCCTAAATAAATAACCCTCTAGTATTCTCAATTCTGAGCTAGTGTGGGATTTCTTTTAAGCGTCCTTCTTCTTGGAAAGATGGTGAGAAACAAGCTATTTGTGACCTTTCAGATACTTATTCTTATTAACTAAGGGTGAAATAAGTCACTGTGCAGTGGAGGACTCCGGCGAACAGCATCTTGACCAAATGCTAAAGTTGGCCTCACCTCGGATAAGCCATGTTAACATCCTGCATTCTTCAACAGGAGGGACCAAAAAGGTAGAAAAATACTCAGTGGCATCCGTGCAGGCCAAGGGAAAGGTAGAAGAAAGGTTTTTTTTTGCAATGTTTTATAATTTTGACCTTTTTTAGAGCTCAAGTTATTTCAAAGTGGAGTGAAATCGAATCAGGACTGGTAGTTCTCAACCCAGCATTTCTGGTTCATAAGGTCTTCCTGCATCTCAAGGGGCTGTGTTGCTCAATATGGAATCCAGGGCCCCACACAGGCAAGTGTTCCAACACCAAACCATGTCACCAGGCCCTGGTGCATTCCAAGCAAACCCTCCACCACTGAGTCACACCTCCAGCTCCATGCTGATGCATTCTGAACAGGTGCTCTACCGCTGAGCAGTGGTCCCAGCTCTGAGAATTTGCCTGACTTCTCAGGCAATAAGGATGTTGGTAATGCCTCTGGAAGCCATGCCCCACAACAAAAACCCCCTGTCACAAGCCTGCCAGGCCCTGAAATGTAAGAACAAATCCTTCACTGGCTGGCTCATCAGCTATTTCATTCATTCATCACTGTGGTCCTCCACTTACCAGACCCTTGGTCAAGTCCTCTTGGAATTGTAGTCACCAGGCCACTTAATATGAACTAGTAGGGTATGATTGACTGTTTGCAGGGAATAGGGTGGCTTCTGCGAAGTCCATCAAAAAAAGGCCCATTTTCAGTAACTGTTGCCTGGCTGGATTTTTGTTTCCTGTTCTGTGTAATTGTGGGGAAGTTCTGGCTTGGGGGATAATGGGGGAAATGGGGCTTTAGCATAGGCTTTGGAGCATGAAAAGAGAGCCGAGCCAGATTAATCAACAGTATCCATTTATTTTATATTTCTCAGAAGGCTCCCATTTATTAAAAAATATTTTTCCAGCAGGCCAAATATTTTGGCCAAGTGTCTGAACCCTGTAATCTCAAAATCAGTCTATGATTTTGAGCATACATCACCAAGACCTTTGCTGGAGCCAGGCCTCATGCATACATGCAGGCAGCATGTGAGCTCCAGAACAGAAGACATGGTGGCTGCTCTCTACCCTTAGCAGGAATTCACATGTTTATTCAGGGTGGAGGGGCACAAACAAACAAACAACAAAACAATACTAGGAATTGTCCTTCTTCTGACTCCTACCACAGCGCGGGGAGAAGGATAGAACCAACAGGATGAGGCCTGGGCAATAGATGGATGCATATGCTTCCTAAAGCCCCAGGCAGTAACTCTCTAAGAACTTGTCACACAATTGTGTGTGTGTGTGTGTGTGTGTGTGTGTGTGTGCTTGAGAGAGAGAGAGAGAGAGAGAGAGAATACATGTGCATCTGTAAATGATTTGTCTATGTGCACAGCCTTGTGTGTGTATGCAGAAGCTAGATAACTCACCAATCAGGATCAGTCTGTCATGTCCCCGGCCCTCTGGTGCTGGGGTTACAGCCATGCACAGAGTTCTAGGGATTCAAGCACAGGCCTTTGTGCTTGTAGAGCAAGAACTGTTACCTGCAGAGCAATTTCTCCAGTCCCTTGCCAAAACAGTTTTTGGGAAAAAAAAAACAAGATCTATTTTTAATCAGGCTTATGTATGTGTACCTAGGTGGTCATGGAGGCTGTGAAAGGTCATGAGATCCCGCCCAAGTGGCTTTGAGACATGTGATCTGAGAGCTGGGCACTGGCCAGGTCCTCTGAGAGAGCAGCAAGAGACCTGAATCACCAAGTTCTCTCCAGATACCCCCATCACAACTTTTGAGGGAGAAGCAAGTTAAGCAGTTTGTCTGAGGTCACAGCTTACACGCAATTGTGTCAACACTTGAACTCCGGTGTCGCTGGTCCACGGTCACAACCCTAACCTGCCCTGGGACTACGGACTAGAATTTCCTACCTGGACCAAGAATGGCTACTGGTCTGGAACTCCTGAATTCTCATCATCTCTGCACCCCCGAAACCAGAACAAGTGCCAATAGCAATGAAGTGTTTTCTATGTTCAAGTGCACTGCTGAGCACTTGGTGGACAGAATGAACGTCATTTGCTCGTCAATGCAACCTAGGCAAGTTGATCATTTCCATTCACGGGCAAAGAAGTGAAGACATGGAGCAGTTGCCACTTTTCACAAGGCCCAGAGTTCTGTCCATGTGCTAAGCCCCGGCCTAGCAACCTGGGCTCCCTATCTGGAAGAATCGCAGATGGAGCTCGTACCTCAGTCTGTCCAGCTTCAGAGATCTGGCTCTTCACCGCAGCACTTGGCTGCACACATCTGAGTGTGATAAATAAGACGCCTTAACGCTCTGAGGCCAAAAAGAAGAGTGGGATCCACAGACTGCCTTTGCGGCCAGCATTGAGCCGGCGCAAGGTTGAGCAGGGGGGGCTGTAGGTTATCCCTGCCTGCTCCTCCGAATAATTTACTCCTCCGAACATTGGTATCTTGTCGCTTGACATGGCTGGCCCATTGTTTCTACCACTGCCCTTTCATAATCCATCAATTTCTTGAACACAACGGTTCATAAAACAAGCAAACTTCCCCACAGCGTGGCCCATCCTGAAACACGGACAAGTCTGAGGAAGACTCTCAGGTGTGCCGCTTTGTTTTTGCAGCTTCTCGGGAAGTGGGGGTTCCATCCCCGCTCCTTCCCTCCTCCTGGGCTGAGTTGCCACCAATTGCTAAGGGTAACTGATTGCAAAGGAGGGATTGTCAAAGTCACCCGAGGAAGTGAAAAATCCATCTCTCCAGAGCTCACCCCAGAGCCTCTGATTCAAAAGAACTAAAGGAGCTTGGAAATTTGAATTTTAACTCATTCCCAGGTGATACTGACTCTGCTTGTCTAGGAACCTTGAAAACCAAGCCTGAGGTGCATCAGCAGCCAACTATGGTGTGTATACCTGTAAATACAGAGGCCATGTCTACATGGCTGAAGGATACTGAGTTACTGTTTTCTCCTGGAAGAAGAGGGGGCAAGAGAAAGGCTACACCCACAACATCACCCTTTGCCCCTGCTGCCCTGTAACATTTAGAATAATCCCTGCGGGAAGGAGCTCAGAATGGCTCACCTCCCTTTTTAATAGTCCAGAGCTCTCTCCATGTCCCAAGAGCTTCCCTTTGGAAACAGAAATGCTGCTGCACTCAATCCATCATGGAGAAAGGATGCAGATGAGTTCTGGGGGCCAAACTAGCTCTTTATGTCAACTTTGTGGGCCATGAGAGCAAATTGTCTTCCTATTCAAAACCCACTGACGCCACATTACAGGCCAGGACTCTTCTTCTAACCAAAGGAGAGCCCACTGTGGTCCATGATGGGAAACATCTTGGGGCTTCTTTGAGAGTACACTTGGATGGTATTGGGAGGGTCAGGGCCTAGGTACTGCTAGGGTCTCAACTACCCGCAGATTCTCAGCCTTTTCTGAGAAATGGCTCCATCATTCCCTGGATCTCAGTGACAAACATTTAGGACAACATGCAGCCTCATGTCTCCAGTGGTACTTGTGGGGCCGCAGCTCTCCATCCCTTACATTGAGACAAATGCCCTGTAGTTGTTTGTAACTCTGAATTTCCATTCCTCCAGACAGATGTTGCATGGTGCTAGATTTTGGTGCTTCCCCTTTTTGAAAGTGTGTGATATCAGCCCCTATACTACCCTTTGTCCCTTTAGAACCTCTCATTTCTGAGAACTGAAGATCACGAAGTCACCTAGCCTGACCCTGCACAAGTCAGCGAAGAAACACAGAAATGTATCAGTTGTATAGCCCACCAAGAAATGTTATAACCAGCCACTTTCTTTAGGCCCTTTTGGACTTTTCTTCCTCTCCAACTTCAGGAAAGAGTTTGAACAGACTGAAAGGGGCAGAATCACCTCCCCAGGCTCAGAGATCTTCCATTACTACAACTCTTAGCTCTAGCCGGTGTGACATGTGCACCGTCCGCATCTGACAGCATCAGCTTCTTCCCCACCAAGTTACCACAGAACAAGAGCAGAAAAGAACCCAGGCCTGGAGGCCAGTTCCAAGGCAAGCCTTACTGCTGAATAGCTGGCTGAGGTTTGAGACAGCAGTCTGTTAAACATGAGGTTGACTTGGACCAACTCTGAAGTTCACTGCAGTGGAGAGTCACTGAGTTATCATATACCAGGCTTGCATCTTAACTCATTCAAAAATCAGGAAACTCCCAGCGGAGCCATGTGCTCACATTTGTGTCTGCTTCACAGGTGAGGAAGCTGAAGCTTCGTAGAAGCACAGTGGAGAGTCCAGCATACCACACTCAGGTAAGTATTCTGCAATCTGGGTCAGGATTCTGTACTGCATCATCATCTCTAATGTATCCCTGATTTAACTACTGTAATACAGGACATCTTTATATGAACAGCAGGTTTTTGAAGGGAATCCTGGAGGTTGTTGTGGTAGCCATGGGAGGCTATTCTGGCTAGTACAAGGTCAGTCCCTGTCCCAATGTGAGCTCAGTTATGTAGGTGACTGTGATTATCAGTGCTATTCTTTTTTCAAACTAAACACCCCCAGTTCCCAGAAGAAATGTGCACAGGCCTCACCTGGAAAGGGCTCCTTCAGGAAGTGGCCATTGATGGTCTGGTTGGCTGTGCCCAGGGCATTCTTAGCAATGAGGGTGTAGTTGCCATTGTTGTAGTGGGTGGGCTTGTTGAAGAGCAGGCAGCCCTCGGAGACCTCACCCTCCTGGTAGTAGTCCATGTGAATGATCTTGGACTCCCTCAGGGGCTGCCCATTGTACAGCCAGTGCAGCGTGGGGGTTGGGTTGCCACGCACCACAAACTCAATGCAATGCTCCAGACGTACCTCGGGCTCCACCAGGCTCACCACGCGTGGAGGGTCTGTGGGGAAAAGCAAGCTGATCTCGAGGACACGGAGTCTCCTAACGGACCGAAGAGACCTAGGAAGCAGGATGGGGATCCCACTTCTCACCCTGCCCTGAGACGGTTGGGTGAAGCCGAGCTCCCACCACCAGCGAATAGAAGGGAAGAGCCACCTGTCTTTAGCTCCTGGGATCTATCTTAGCTGGAGCTTCCCTTCTGAGTCCTTTCAGGGATGCCAAAGTTGAATGGACCAACTTAAGAGATTCTGGAAAATGGGACTGAATTGCAGAGGTATACCATCCATTGAGGGACAAGGACATTCTTTCTTGGGTTTTTTTGGGGGGGTGTTGCTTTGGTTTTTGTTTTTGTTTTTGTTTTGTTTTGTTTTGTTTTTGCCCAAGAGCTTATTTTTCAGTTTTGTCTTAGAACGACCTTTCTGCCCTTGTTGAAAGGCCAGGGTCGGAGCCTCTAGATGAGTTCTAGCCAGGGACCTGCCCCATTCCCAGCCTCCTCCTGGTACCTCTCTGGCGTCCATGATGGCATCCACTTACAGTAGACAGTGAGAGCAACGCTGGCATTGCTCATGCCCACCACGTTCTCCGCAATGCACGTCAGGGTGAAGCCGTTGTCCTCGCTTGTCACGTTCACCAGGGTCAAGTTGATGGCGTGTACGTTAGTCCAGTTCAGATTGGTCTGAAAACCCCAATCAGAAGATAACCGTCAAACCATTTATACAAAGATGGCTTCCTTTCCTAACCCCTAATATCTTCGGAAACCGAGTAAAAGGTGAATGAAGTCTATCTAGTGAAAGCACACAGACCATGCTCCAGATTCTGTGTGATTCAGTTGATCCTCGTATGAATACTGGGTGGTAAATGGCAAAGTTGGGTCTTTTTTGCAAAAGAAGAAACCAAAGCACAGAGAGTTGAGCACCGCAGAAGCAATCGAAATGACAAGAAATCGTGCCATCCAGATAGAATCTGAGTCTGCGTGTTTCTTCCCAGGGGGACAGGATCCCAGTTTCCCCCTCTTCTTTATAACTAAGGGATACTAGGTCCCTAACTCTTAATGTGCCTGGTCAGAGGATACCTACCTGGTGGGTGTTGATGGACTGCAGCCCAGTGACTATCCAGTCCACGTCAGGCAAGGGGGAACCAGAGCCATTGCAAGTGATCACAGCATTGTCTCCTTCTCGGACGGTCAGGTTGACGTGGCTCACGCTGATCTCAGGGAGATCTGGGAGGTCAGAGAGGAGAGGGAGGTAAAATGCCAGAGAATGGCACACAGAGGAGTTCTGCCTCCAGGCACTTCTGGCCTTGCCCCGTGGCAACTCGAGTGTAACTTGCTTGAACTCGTGTGATGGCTGTAACTGTGTGATGGCGACTACCAATTCAACAAGCTCGAAGATCACTTAGAGATGCTTCTGAGCATGCCTGAGGGAATATCTCAGCTAGGTTAACTGAGGCGGGAAGATGCCATGCTATGGGCTGGGGCCTGAACTGAATAAAAAGGCAAAAGTGAGCTAAGTGCCACCATTCATCTCTCTCTCTCTCTCTCTCTCTCTCTCTCTCTCTCTCTCTCTCTCTCTCCTTCCTGACTATGGACACAAAGTGGTCAACTGCCTCAAATTCCCCTTACACAGTCATGACTTCTTCATCATGGCGGGTTGTACCCTGAAACTGCGGGCCAAAATAAACTCCTCCCTCTTTAAACTGCTTTCGCTGAATCGACGTAAAAAAAAGTAATGACTGTCAGCTCCAGCTGATTCGCAGCCCCTCCTCTGCAGACCTCAGAACCGAGACACACTCAGTGGGATGCTCTGACATCGTGGGTGTGAGTGGAGCACCTGTTCATGGAATGACGTTCTAGCAACCAAGCCTACAGCTTCAATGTTTGGGGTACTGAGTCTCAGCAGCTGGTGTGTGACAGGTTCCCACGGGCACTAGAGATTCCATCCTTTAGTGTCTGGCTGGGCATAGAAGCTGATCCTTTAGAAAACAGCCTGGAAGCTCCTGGTACAGGAATGCCAGCGCCTGGACATTAAGACATGCTCCTTCATGTTTGATTGACAGGCGACTCAGAGAGAAAGGTAATCTTATCTGCTGCGAATGGCAAATGGCTCTTTTCGGCCTTCCTCCCTAAGACTAGCCTTCCCACGGCTGGCTCAAGACAGGATGACCAAGAAGGGGAAAGATCGGTCTGATCTGCGCCCACTGCTGAGGACAAGACTGGAGAGGGCTGGGAAGGAGACCCTGACAGGACAGCCCCTTCTCTGGGGTGTGCGGAATGCGGGCCAGATGAGGCAGGGCTGCAGCTCACTCACCACACTGACTGATGTTCATGCGGAAGAGAGGGAGTTGGGAGCCATCGGCACTGATGCAGTAAAGACTCTGGCTGTCCAGCCGGGCCTCCCCCTGCTCCTGCCACAGCTGCATCCAGCGGATGTCGCAGCTGCAGTTGAAGAAGTTCTGCTCCAGTCTCCTGTGGGTAAGAAGAGAGGGGAAGGAATCCCTGAACGGTGGATGACCCAGCTCCCTCCCAAGGCTGAGGCCAGCGGGCCCCCCCCGCTGCTCCTCCATGAAATGAGCCAGACTCGGATAGACAATACCATGTTTCCTCTCATCCATTGATCATAGACTGCATTTAGATGCATAAAACCATGAGAGAGACAGTCAGAGACAAGACAGAGGTAAACTTGAAGGTAGAAGAGGAACAGGAGGGAGGGAAAGAAGGAAGGAGGGAGGAAAGGGAGGGAGGGAAAGAAAGGGAAGGGGAGGGGAGGGAAGGGGGGACGGGAAGAAGGGAAGGGAGGGAAGGAAGGGCAAGGGAGAGGGGGAAGGAGGGGAATAAGAAACTAGATGGGGGAACAAGGAGAAAGAGGACAACTGGGAATAAATATGGCCACTCACATGTTACACTTGAAATAAATTATCTCCATGGAACCCATCACTATGTGCAATGAATATATACCAATAAAATAAAATACCAAAAAAATAAAAAGTAATAAAGGAAAGGGGCTGGGGGGGATCTTAGCTGATGAAGTGCTCGGCATTCAAGCATAAGAATGGAAATTGTGACCCCCCCCCAGCACCTATAAAAATGCTGTAAATGCCAAGAGGGCATCGTGGCCAAACTGCAATTCCAGCACTCGGGAGGTAGAGACACCAGATTCCTAGAAGAAAATCACTAGTCAGAAGAGCTGGCATTGGTGAGCTCCAGCTTCAACCAAGGAAAACGGGCCACAGCAGTCTCTGTACTCCACATGAGGGTGCCCACACCTCCTCATACACACTGATGCCCACATATATACACATACTCATGTCTCTCTCTCTTTCTCTCTCTCTCTCTCTCTCTCTCTCTCTCTCTCTCTCTCACACACACACACACACACACACACACACACCACACAAATAAAAGAAAATATAAATAACAATAGTAAAGGAAAAGAGGTTAAGTGAGGTCGCAAAAGATGCAACAAAAGCAACAAATAATGAATAAATAGCATTAAGTCCATGCACTGAGTTTCAAAAGTAATAATTTCACAGAGAACACAATTTTTACCCACGTAAATCACTGGACAAAGGGACCCTTTTACATGTGTTAAGCGGAGATGCTCATCTTCCTAAAGCCTCCCCACGGCTTCCCATTTTGTTGCAATTAAAAGCCCTTTGAAATCTGGGTTTCTCCATCACCTTCCCGATGTCATCTGCTCCTCATGGTCAGCAAAGCCATACTCTACCTATATTTCTCCATCATCCTGGGATGTCACCTCCACCTCACCCCTACCCCTATTCAGCCATGCCACCTCCTGCCCAACACCTGTCCCTCTCCAGCCACACTGATCTTGATATGCACAAGCTCACTGATGTGAACAGTTTGGACCCGCTTCAGGGCTTCTATCCTTGCTGTCTTGCCTGCCAGTCAAGCTCTCTCCCAACATATCTGCAAGACTGGTTCCCCTCACTTCATTAAGAAACTGTAGGGCGTTCCCTGACCACCATCATATCAAAGCTACCACAGCCCTGTCCTAATAATGTCCAGCCCCTCGCCGGCCGCATTTACCTGTTTACGATTTATTACTATTTCATAGCACTTTAAATATTCATATTAGTTTGTTTCTCTGTCTTCAAAGATAAAAAAAAATTAAGCTCCACAGAGGCCAGAGATATAATCCATTTTGTGCACCGCTGCAATCACGGTACCTAAGATGGATCCCCAGACACATTTTCACTGGGGGACTAGGTAGTTAGCTACTTCCAAGACGTATCCCAAGCCCATCTTGGGACCAGCTTTATCCCTTCATGAATTCAATGATTCCTTAATGAGCACCTGTTCTGTATCTGGCTGTGTTTGAATGCTGTTAATAGAGAGATGAATAAGGCAGACCTTGTCCTCTGGGAGCATTCAGCCCAGGGAAGAAGAATGACTGAGAGGGAAAGAGTCAAGTCCCGAGTCCTTGTTATCCGCAGAGTCTCCTTGCGCCTTAGAAAAGGCAGATGCCTCCTCTATTGGGTTATTAGGAGAGTGATGGACAGGGCTAATCAATCCCCCAAACTCTCAAAGCACACAGGCTGAATCTGAATGCCGGAGCCATTAGGGGAACATGATTCTCTCTCTGGGCTATTGAGAGGATCGATCCGTTGGCACCTGGAGAAAAGGCACTTGGGTCACTGAATATTTTTTAAGCACGGGGTATTTTTGACAACTGGCAAATTCTAAAATAGCTAAGCACGCGTCAGCATTTGTCAGCTCGCAGGAAACGGGTGGCGGGTGGAGGGGGCAGAGAGAGGAACTTTGTTCCTGGTGACTACGACAGGTAGTATGTACAGTCACACGGCTAATCATCCTCTTAGCCTGTGAGCATCCATGACTTCTCATTCTTCAGGGTCTTTTGAAAAAGGAAAGGGAAAAGGCCCAACCTTTACCGGGAATCTGCTTCTCACAGCAACCTTAAGAGGCAGACAGTCCCCACACAAACAAAAAAGTCCATCTAATAATGTGGACTGAAGGGTGGAATGGCTAATCCTCTCTGTCAACTTGATGGCGGGATTTATAAACACCACGGAGACACTGGATGTAGAGGAGCAGAAATGAAGAGGGGATACCTGCCCTGAATGTGGATGGACTGAGAGGACCCGAACTGAGTTAAAATGGGAACGTAAGGTGAGCTCTATCACTTGTCTCGTTTTCTAACTGTGGACACAACGTGACCGGCCATCTTGTGCTTCTATCATGGTAACGCCCCATCATGATGGAATTTACCCTCAAACTACCATGAGCCCACATAAACTCCTCTTTAAAGTGCTCTTGTGGTTATTCCCCACATCAATGGGAAAAATAATTAACAGGAGGAGTTAGGATACACACTCCACGCTCCAGTCATCACACAAACCTGTCTGTTTACTTCCCATCGCTTCTTCCCTGGGCCAATGCTGCAGAGCCCAGGGGCCACCCACGGGACTCCCCTGACTTCCAGGGCTCTTTCCGAGAAGACTAAGAGGAGAAGTAGAGGGAAGCAATCAGGGAAAGCAAAGATCAGCAGAGCACAGAGGTCATGTCCAGAGAGCACCTGAAGTGGGAAAAGAAGTCAATGGTAGAGGAGCTTTACCAGCCCGTTGCAGAGTATGGAGTTTGTCCGCCGAGATATGAAGAAACCACTAGGCCACCAGTTAACGATGTTTTATAAGCACGGAGTCACCATGGACAGCTGTGTAGTTTGTGCATTTCTCGGAGAATCCAGCCAGCAATGCTAGAATTCAGACCCAGTGCTCTGGAGTGGGGCTACACCACTCCTGAGGGACTATCTTCTCTAACTCACGAACATGGGCATCAGCTAGACTGGCTGCTAGAGCCCGTGTTCCTCAACTTCTGTTCACCTGACAGAACACATTTAAACATTTCCTGTGTGTCTCCGATAGCATTTGTGCATGTGGGTTTTATCTCTCATTACTTACGATATTAGAAATTGAAACAGCCATTTTTACAAGTGAGATGAAATCTCAATGTCGTTTTAATTTTTATTTCCCTGATTGCTAAGGATGAAAAACGCCTTCTGAGATATTTATTAGCCATTATTTTCTTCTGTTGAAAACTCTGTTCAGCCCATTTTTAATTGGGTTATTTATCTTCTTGACTGTGTTGTTTTTAAATTGTGTTCTTTGTATATGGTAGATACAAATCCTCTGACGGATATATAGACAGATATATAGCTGGCAAAGGCTATCTCACACTCTATGGGTTCCTTCCTTGCTTGACTGATTCTTTCTTGGTCTACACAGAAAGTTTGGGAGGGGTGTTATGAGAGCCTATTGTTAATTGTTGGCCTTAATTCCAAGACTAACTAATGGAGTCCAAAAAAAAGGGAAGAGAGAAAGAGAGAGAGAGAGAGAAGGGAGGAAGGAAGGAAGGAAGGAAGGAAGGAAGGAAGGAAGGAAGGAAAGAAAGAAGGAAGAAGGAGGGAAGGAACAAAGAAAACCTCTATCTTGTAGGGTTCTGCCTAATTTTTTTCTACCAGCTTTAACATTTCAGGTTTCAAATCTCATGTCCCTGATTCTCTTGGAGATGGTATTTCTGCAGGGTAGTAGATATAGGTATGAATTCATTTCACTGCATTGGATTGGATGTTTTCCCAGTACCATTTGTTAAAGATGCTGTCTTTTCTCCACTGTATGCTTTGGGGCTCTTTGTCAAATATCAGATGGATATAGCTATGATTATTCATATCTGAGTCATCTATTTTCCTTTATTAACCTACATGTCTATTTTAATTGTAGCACCATGTTGTTTTTATTACTATAGCTCTATAATATCCTTGTAATTTGCAACAGCCATCCCTTCAGTATTGTTCATTTTGTTTAGAATAGCTTTGCCTATCCAGGATCTTTTCTGAGTTCATGTAAATTTTAGAGATTTTTTCTATTCTTGTGAAGAATGCTATTGGTATTGGCTTGGGATTGCACAGAGACTGTACACTGCTTTTGGTCAGAGGCTTATTTCCATAATAATAACTTTACTGAGTCATGATCATGGGAAATTTTTCCAATTTCTAGTATCTTTCTCATCTCTTTGGAAACTGGAAGTTTTTTCACCTTCTTGGTTGGGTTAAGTTCAAGATATTTTGCTGTCTGAGAATATTGTAAATTTTAATGTGTTATGACCTTTATCTCAGCATACATGTTGTTGGTATATAGAGAGGCTACTGATTTTTATAAGTTGATTTTGCATATTGTCACTTCGCTGAAATTATTTTTGCTGCAAATTGAAGTTTCCTGGTGGAATTTTGGGGACCTCTTATATACATCATATCATCTGCAAACAGGGATCATTTTTCTTTTCCTATTTGTATCCCTTTAATTTCTTCCTCTTGCCTTATTACTCCAGCTAGTTCTCTGAGTACTCTATTGGAAGGGAGTGGGGAGAGTGGGCGGTCCTCTTATTCTTGATTTAGATGGGACTGTTCTGTGTTTTTCTTCATTTAGGAA